GTTGACTTCTATGTTCCCTTTTATATTTACACACGCTCTATCTCTGATATTGAGCACTTTATCCCAGAAATATACCATACCTTAAATCTAATCTTAATTGTCCAAATAGTGTAACACCATAATTGTCCATCAAACAAAATTTTTAATATCTAAAAAAACAAAAAACGCTAAACGGATTGATTTTCTTTATGCAGTGGCACATCTTGACACAATCTTTCGTAAGAATCACTGAAAAACCTTTTAAGCTATTCAGATAGGAAGGGAACAGTTTAAAATTGTTTTGTATCAGCCCCACTATGTCTTCCGAAAATGAGCAGTGGGGAGAGGAAAAAGATCATTCAGGGCCTAAACATTCATACTCTGGCTTCTATCTTCAAATTCCATTCAAGAACCATCAAAAGAACGTTGAATAAGTTTAAAAAGCGGGAACAGTAGAGAGGAAAACTGGATCAGGAGGTCACAGGAGGAAGATGGATCATCATTTCAAATTAGAGCTAAAGAGATCAATTAGAAAAGATCCAACTCAATTCGCAAAACGTTTAGCACGTGAGAAAGGAGTCCCATCTATGACAGAGCAATGAAATAAGACTTAAAAATGTACGTGAAGCCTGTGAAACATCTTGTTGCTCCAGGACAGAAAGTTAGAAGGTTAGAAAGGGTGAAGATCATCTTGAATAAGTTGGAAAATGTTCCTGTAATAATAATAATAATAATATATATATATATATATATATATATATATATATATATATATATATGAACTTTATTTCAAACCTGGATGAGCTTTCGATCCTTAGCTATGATTAGACTGTTTTGTTTAGGATCGATTCCATCACGATTTTTCTGTTAAGGTTGGGGAGAAATTATACATTCTTATTGCTTAAAATAGAGCCCAATAGTGTTATAAAACCTCGGAGAATTCCAGTAAGATATCTTTAATCATTTCTAAGATACAACGGTTTAAATCTTAATCTAGCAATTAGTGTTCAAGGATCTCATGCACATGCTCCATGACATTCTTCATCGTCAGATACCATTATAGTTTTTATTTAGTCTCTTTGCCATAGTATCAGCGATAGAACATCTGAATTAGTAACATAGAATATCTGGGGAGGTGAAGTAATGGATAGCGGCTTGGATTGAGGAATCGGAGAGCCGAGTTCGAATTCCAGCCGAATCCATTACATTCACATATGTGCTAATACCCTTAGGAAAGGTCTGAATCCTCTTCTTCTCCCTCCAGCTTTAGGTAAATAGCAAGACAGACTGAGTTCTATAGCCTTGGATGGCAACTAGTCTACCGCAGAAAGAATTGGAAACCTGCGGGAAAAAATCTGCCTCGTTAGTCATGTATCGAAAGATACATGATCGCCTAAGCGTGTATCATGCATGTCACATAACTAATTGACTGACGTGCTAATACCCTTCGTAAAGGTATGAATCCTCTTCTTCTCCCCCCACCCCAGCTATGGGTAAATAGCAGGACAGACCGGGTTCTATAGCCCTGGATGGCAACCAATTCAAAATTCAAAACCATCCGGCCATCTTGCCTAAGAAAGACCACTTCTATTGCGACTGCAGTACACATGGTGCCCCAACGACCTTACGGTTCAAGGGATGAATAAAAATGCATCTGACTTAGTAACAAGAGCATCTGATATCGTAATACCTATAGTAATACCTATACAATAGTAAGAGGGATAACGGAATATTTCGATTGATTTTGGTCAGGACCCTGATGGTATCGAAAATATGCCAGCATTTTTTACTTAACCCTTTTAGAAGGCTAATAGATTATTTGAGAGCTGCTGTTTGTCATTTTTTTTTTCTTCCGGAGACTCTTAGCGTTACTTATGAACGGGGAGATTTGATGTAAAGCTGGATGATGTCTTCCTGAAGCACAAACGAAGTCTTTGAAAAAAAAAACTGAGTTGAATTCATTTCGATTGAGTAGAGTAACAATAAGTTAAGGCCATAATACAAGGAAAATGTATTTTCGAGTTATTTGAGAAATCAACTTAATAGATATGTACACAGATAGGAACAGATCGGGATAGATAGATAGATAGATAGATAGATAGATAGATAGATAATGAACAGACTAAGATAGATACATACATACATGCATACATAGATAGATAGATAGATAGATAGATAGATAGATAGATAGATAGATAGATAATGAACAGGCTAAGATAGATAGATACATGCATACATATGAAGATAGATAGATAGATAGATAGATAGATAGATAGATAGATAGATAGATAGATAGATAGATAGATAGATAGATAGATAGATAATGAACAAAGATGATACATGCACTACATATGAAGATAGATAGATAGATAGATAGATACATAGATAGATAGATACATACATGCATACATATGAAGATAGATAGATAGATAGATAGATAGATAGATAGATAGATAGATAGATAGATAGATAGATGTTCAAATATCCTCCTGCTTCAAGTTGGTCTGGTGCTAGGAATGTTTTCATCACTATGTCCTTTTTGACAGTTTTTCTCGCTAGAATCTATTTTACACATTTAAAAGACCTTGAATATTGATGATCTGGTGCTTCTGTCATGTATTTAGAAATTTTGGGTAAAATGCAAAAATATCTGCAGTGTTATCGGTCCTGACTTGGCATCTCGGCTTCAACGACATTCCCTCCCGGCGTAACGTAGATTCTTTAGGCCTTATTTTAAAAATAGTTTCGTGATAATTTTTCTGATGAACATTTCTCTATGATTCCTAAACTTTATGAATTTAAGTGAAGTACTAGATTGGTGGCAAGATCTCATCATTTTACGATATAAATGGTTAGATGGAACCATAAACTTTCTATTAAGAGTTTCTTTTTGCGAACTTATCGCTTGTGGAACTCACTTCCGTCTTCTTGCTTACCGGTCAACTTTGATCTTCAAAGAATTAAATGCGTTGTCAATCGTTAACTTTTGTCGGCTATTTTATTTTTATCGCCCCACTTAATAATGTTTTGATTTTTGTTTTTAAATATGAAACCTAGAAATGTTATATTGAAGAAATTATTGACCAAAATCTGATCGGCAAACTCCAGTAATTTATTGGATGACTTGTGTTAATATTTACCTATTGCCAAACCAAATAAATTCTTATATACTCAAATATAATCAACCAATATTTACCTGTCCACAAACCAAATAAATGCTTACAGACTCAAATATATATATTTCAAATTTTCACCTGTACTCGAACCGCGTAAATGTAAAACTCAAATATAACAAAGATTGATTTCGGCCTTAAATAGCGCATACAAATTTGGTGTTTTAAAATCAACCAATAACAAGCCATAAACAAACATGAGCCATTTTTTCTTTTCTTTTAGTCTATCAATAATTTTTTTTGTTTTTTCTGGTGTCTAACTTTTCAAATTTATTGCTCAAACGAAGAAATTCAATAAACAATACTTCCGTCTTCAATTCTTCTGATGCACTGTCCAAATTAGTTAATCTCCTTTCTTTCCCGCCAAAATAATTAATTTCTTTTCTCCGCCATTTTTTCCTACGTCTCAACTCTCTTTCACGCACGCTTCTTTTTAAATTTTTTCCCTTCTTCTTTCTTTTATAAATTCAGTTTTATTTTTAAAAAGCTTATTGTATGCATTATAATTTTCATGCAAGCGTGAATAAGTTATATGCAAAGAATAATCAGCAGTATTATCAGTCTGAGCCTGGATAACGAGATAACACGGTATCCTATGAGATTTGAACGCACTACATTGACCTCCAGAAAACCTTGCTAACAATAGCTTTACGGCAGGCACTGCAAAGTTGTTAGTCTATGTCAGGATATAAAGAGAGTTTGCTTCGCAGTTTCGTTATATCTTGAGTGTACAAAATTATATTCCATCTGTATTTTTAGTTTCGATCTTTCAAAAAAGATCCTAACAATTCACTCTTTCTTTCTTTCTTTCTTTCTTTCTTTCTTTCTTTCTTTCTTTCTCTCTCTCTTTCTCTCACTTTCTCTCTCTCTCTTTCTCTCTCTCTTTCTCTCTCTCTCGCACATTGAATACTACTACCACATCTGGTCTAGTACTTCTGCTGTTTTTAGAGATTCTTGATAAAATACAATGACGAATCTGCAATGTTACTGGTTCTAACCTGGCACCTCGGCTTCAGTCCAGCGTGTCGTATTCCCTCAGAGGACCTTTGCTGTCAATTGACAGCAAAGGTTGTTGTCTTCTTCCAACTGTCTATTCTGTCTCTAGTTTGCAACAATGAGCCGTGACTATTTTTGCAGAAGCCTAAAAGCACACTTACCTGACAACCTTCCATCTCTCTCTCTCTCTCTCTTCGTCTTTCTCTCTTCTCTCCGTCTCTCTCACGCCTTTCTCTCTCCCTTCTCCCCCCTCTCTCTCTCTCTCTATCTACCTCTCTCTCTCTATCTACCTCTCTCTCTATCTATCTACTTCTCTCTCTCTACCTCTCTCTCTATCTACCTCTCTCTATATCTACCTCTCTCTCTCTCTGTCTACCTCTCTCTCTTTCTCTATCTACCTCTCTCTCTGTCTACCTCTCTCTCTCTATCTATCTACCCCTCTCTCTCTCTGTTTTCCTACCTCTCTCTCTCTATCTACCTCTCTCTCTCTCACTTTCTCTCTCTCTATCTACCTATCTCTATCTATCTATCTATCTACCTCTCGCTATCTATCTACCTCTCTCTCTTTCTCTCTCTTATTGACAAGAAATGATTTTTTTCTAGATGTTTATTCAGTCGCTAATTTTCAAAAAAGAGCGCTGGCCACTTTTGCACACCCCGAACACCTCACTCTTCTCTCTCTCTCTCTCTCTCTCTCACTCCCAAACACGCGCACGCACACACTCTCTCATTCATAGATGTTCACTGTCTCTCTATTTATCAACCTCTCTCCCTCTCTTTCTCTCTCTCACACACACACACACACACACACTCTCTTTCTCTCTCTCCCTCTCCCTCTCTCATTCGTAGGTGATGTTCACTGTCTCTCTATTTATCACCCCCCTCTCTCTCTCTGTCATCAATTCTTGGGTTTGACCAGTCAGAATTCCTGTCTGCTTATCTATATATAAAACATATATCGATCTGTCTGTCGTAAAATAATCTGTATTCGACCTGTCAATGTATAGGGCAACAGGTTCGCCTGTCAGTGCATGTCTATTAATATTTTCCCGCTCTAGTGTTTTTCGTTGACACTAATAAAAAAACAAGAACAAAATCGTTTCCTTGTTTTCATGTTATTAATTGCTTCCATAATTTAAAAAAAAAGAAAAGAACATTATTCCATCTCTGTTCCAGAATATTCATCTATATAATAAATGTCAATGTCAGTGTGTCACACCTTTTTCAACTTTACTCCTATAGCCCGTAGCCCAACATATCATACCATTTTAGAATCACGCCGACTCCGTGAGCAAATTAAAATCATTGCGGACTGGATCCGGACCCACAATCCTGAAATTTTGGATTTACAACTTTTCATTTCTGCGATTGTTTTCAGCGATTTTTTGCGACGAATTTTTTTGTACGATAACAATTTTTATAACTTTGAAATAACTTTGGGAATTATCAAAAAAATTATCAGCAAAAATCACCCATAAAAAAAAAAAATGTTTGTACGGAAAGTAAAGACCTACGTACATCAAATTTTCTTTAAATTAATTTTAATGCAATACTTAAATGCAGCAATCAATTGTGATGAAGGCCCAACCAAGAACCCTCCGCAAGATCTAGTTTAAATGCTAGTTTAAATGCCGGCGAAGGATTCTTGATTGGGCCTTCACCACAATAGGTAGGGAGGAGTAGTCAACAATAAACTACAGAAGAATTCAAAATTGATCGCTGCATTTGAGTATTGCATTAATATTCAAGCTTACCTTTTAAAAGTTCAGCGATAATTCTTCTGCCGCCACTAAATTTAAATACTGGTACTCCTCTTGGTGTAGGCATATTTTTATGTCTTTCGTCCGACGGCCAAATCCAAACTTAGAGGGAAATATTCTCCCTCACAGCAATTTGATACGAAACTAAATTTTCCATACTTTAAAAAATTGAGACATTGCTAGCATTATTTTTATTTCTTTTTATTTTCCTTGTAAATTACAGGTCGGAGCGTTTAGAGTTTTTTGATTGGTTGTTGTTTGTGATCATCTCTCCTGCTATTGGTCAATTGTCGGATTGGGATATGTGTGTGTATAACCCACGTGGTTTATGAAAATTAACTTTCATGAGAATAGTTTGGGACTAAAATTTAATTTTCGCGTTCGTGTCGCATCTTATACTCGGGGAGGGCGCGCAACGAAGATAAACCTCAACAACAACTAGGACACATGACAAAAGCTATAATTAAAACAAGGTAAAACGAATAAATAAATCTATCGACCAATTGGAGGGAAAATTCAATAAAGTCACATCTCGCAATCAAACAGTTCCACTTCCATAGACCAACAAATTCCAGGACGATGTCATGGATACAGCAGGGACTAGAATATCATTAGTGTGGAATAAGCCAAGTCGAATGGGAGGAATTTATTTTAGTTTTTGAACATCTTTCTTTCGCACTTCTTGAAAATTTAAATTAATTTTATTATTCACTTATCGCCAGTGTTTTTTGAACCAGAACGAGGCTCAAACTCTTTCCACTTTTCCTTCATTTTCTTTCCTCTCTTCAACCATTTATTAGACGTGCTCAAAAATTCCCAGCATGCTTTTCAAAAAACAAAAAATAAAGTAAAGACAGAATATATATATATATATATATATATATATATATATATATATATATATATAAATAAAAAAACAGAAAGATATATATAATCCGGTGTTCTTATAGATATTTTATTTTACAAAATAGTGCTCAATGTAAATTTACAGAGCATTAATATTTTAAATTGATTTATTTAAAATATGTTTTTTCACTACACAATTCTAACCATGTTTCAAAAATGGAAGGTAAAAGCTATGAATTTAATATTGTAATTAAATTAAAGACATTAGTTCCATTTGAAATGGAACTAATGTCTTTCATTTAATTACAAAATTAAATTCTGAGCTTTTACCTTCTATTTTTGAAACATGGTTAGAACTGTGTAGCGAAAAAACATATTTTAAATAAATCAATTTATAATATATATATATATATATATATATATATATATATATATATATATATATATATATATATATATAAAAGAAGAAATATAGTCTTAAGATGTGCTATATTTATGGGATAAAGTACTCAATATCAGAGATAGAGCGTATGTAAATATAAAGGTGAACATTGAAGTCAACACTTAGAAGTGTTGACTTCTATATTCACTTATATATATATATATATATATATATATATATATATATATATATATAACAGTGAGATCCAAACTAGAATAGGCAAAGCCAGCACAGTATTCGGTAAACTTAAACATAGGTTATGAAACACCAAAGACGTGTCTCTCAGAGTAAAGATCTACATACACAGATCAGTCGTTCTCTAAACCCTTCTCTATGGTGATGAAACTTGAACCCTGTACCACAAGCACATAAATCAATTTGACGCCTTTCACATGATCTGTCATTGTATCATATGTAATATAAAATGGCATGACTGCTTCAGGAATAGTGCAATACTGAAGAAATGTAACATCATCACAGGCATTAAAAGCATTCTAGCAAAGATACAACTTAGGTGTGCTATTGTGAGAATGGATGAGTATAGTCTTCTAAAGAAGGTGCTGTGTAGACAACTACCAAACTCCAAGCGTTCAAATGAACGTCTACTCTTATGCTACAAAGACAAATTGAAAGAAAACTTGAGAATCTCAACTTTGATCTTAAAACGTGGGAAATCCAAACATCAAATCGAAAAGAGTGGCATAAGACATGTTTCAAGTTAAAGGTTTTTGAAGACAGTAGACTGAAACAGCGCGATCGGCTTCGTCAAGCTCTGAAGCAGAGACGCCATCAAAATCCTGCTTTAAAAAATTTCATCTGTCAGTGTGACTTTGTCACCTGCAGCAAGGCTGGGTTAGTATTGCACTTAAGAAAGCACAAATGAAATAAGTCTTTCACCTGCCTGATTTTCTCCACAATAGCCCTTGCTAGCATGCATAAGTCTAAAGCGAAAAGCATCATCCAGTGCTGACAGTTATCGTTCGCGATAGGAGAGACCATATATATATATATATATATATATATATATATATATATATATATATATATATATATATATATATGGATGGTTTTAATCTTTTCTTTTTTTACCAATTTTTCCCCAGCTGCCAGTTTGTTTAAATATATTTTTATTTGCAAATTGTACTATCCGGGTATTTTTTATACCAGTCAGTATAGATATATATATATATATATATATATATATATATATATATATATATATATATATTTCTAAAACACTATATTTACTGGTAAGATAAACTTAGTGTATATTTTACTGGGACCGGCCAAATAGCCTTGGCGTTTATTTTACCGAGGCCGGTAAAATAAGCTTAAAAGCATGTTTGTCTATTTTACCGGGACCATCAAAATAGCCACTTCCTTTTTTTTACAATGATGTTCACTCTGTACAGGGCCCAAGAGCCACTCGATGTAAAGGATTTATTTCCCTTTCTCTATTTCTGTTATTCCTTTTCGTTTTTTCTCCGTCTCTTTCTCTTCGTATTACTTTTTTCTTTCTGTTTTTTTTCGCTCTTCTTTTCTTTTCTTTCTTTCTTTCTTTTTTCTTTTCTTTTCTTTCTTTCTTTCTTTCTGTTTATTTGCTACTTCGCTTATTTTTTATATTCGTTTTACCCTCTTTTTTATCTTTTTTCTCCTCTTTTGCAAATCTTTAAGTTCTCAAACTCTTTTTCCTTATCTCTTTCTTCTCATCTTTTTTCTCTTAAATATTTGTCTCTTTCGATTTTTTCTTTCTTTTGTTTTGTTCATTTATTCCCCCTCTCCCTCCCACTTTCTTTCTTTCTTTCTCGCTCTCATCTTTTCTTCCCCTTTCTCTATTACTTCTATTCTCTTTTCCTCTCTTTTTTTGCATCTTTCTTTTTCTCCCTTTTCTTTCTTTTTTTCTCTCTCTTTCTTTGTTTCTTTCGCCATTCTTTTCATTTTTCTTTTTTCCTACTTCGTTTTTCTTTCTTTCTTTTTTTCATCTTTCTTTTTTACTCCTTTATTTTTCTTCTTTCTTTCTTTCTTTCTTTCTTTCTTTCTTTCTTTCTAAATATTGTTTTCGTTCGATTATCTTTCTTTTTTCCTTTCTTTCTTTCTTTCTTTTTTCATTTCCCCCCTCACTCTCTCCCATATTATCTCTTTTTCCACTTTCTCTATTCCTGAGATTCCCTTTCGTTTTTTCCGCCGTCTCTTTCGCCTCATATTTCTTCTCTTTCTCGTTTTTCTTTCTTTTTTTTTTTTTCTTTCTTTCTTTTTCTTTATTTTCCATCTCATTCTCTTTTCTTTCTCTCACTTTCTCTTCATTTTATTTGTTCATCATCTGATCACTCCCTTTTACTCTCATCCTCTTTCTCTCTCTCTCTCTCTCTCTCTCTCTGTCTTTGTTTCTCCTCTACCACCCTTTCTTTCTTTCTTTCTTTCTTTCTTTCTTTCTTTTGTATTATTTTCCATGTCATTTTCTTTTCTTTTTCTCACTTTCTCTTCATTTTATTTGTTCTCTATCTGCTTAGTACTTTTTTACTCTCATCTCTCTCTCTGTTTCTCCTTACACCTCTCTCTCTCTTTCTTTCTTTCTTTCTTTCTTTTCTTTCTTTCTTTCTTTATTTCCTTCTTTTGTAATTTTGACATTGCTCGTATTATGAATTCTTTTCTTCACCTCCTCCTCCTCATTTTATCCCCCCCCCCACCGTCATCCCTGCCGTGATTCATTTCATCCAAACATATTCGCGTACAAGTGTACTCCTGCCTTCTGAGGTACAGAGGCACATACCACGCGTGCATGAACGTAACAGCCCCTCGGGCAAGCAACCCATGTTCGCACAATCACGGAGGATGTTATGAGTTAATGGACAAGTCAATTGTTCAGGGCATATCGGTGGGAACAACAGTAGCAGGTGGCCCTTTTCTGCCAAGTGAATTAACTATATATATATATATATATATATATATATATATATATATATATATATATATATATATAAATCAAATGAAAATGCAAAAGTCTTAAATAATGCGTTTCAACCCCAGAAGAATATTATTCGGATTAATATTTTTTTTTCGATGTGCTCAGTTCTCCTCTCTCCCTCTCCCTCTCTCTCTCTCTCTCTCTCTCTATATATATATATATATATATATATATATATATATATATATAGCTGCGGCAAAAGTAACGCCCTCTTTTTCGAACAAATTGGATAGGACAAGATGGTCATCCCAATTACCAGACCAACACCAGCCAGATGCTTTTTTCTTGAGTGGCGTAAATAAAAATCTTGTTTACAGGTTAAAACCAAAAAACGACACACACACAAATAGATTAAAAAATAAACATAATACCCTACATTGATCGCACAACTCGGAGTTTCATGCTGCTTGCAATCGTCGGGTACGAATTTTAGGTATAGAAGCGGGTGTATACCAAAAATGGACAGCTGTAAACGGTCGCAGAAATTGTCTGACTGCCATGGCTGAGTTCTCCAGCTTGTGACATGGTCCAGAGTCCTGTTGTCCAGGGTAGCACTCTCTCCTTAAGGCACTTGATGTAGGCTTCCGCGTTGTGTCTGAAACCCTCACCAACAAATTTGGGAGTTTTTATCTATTGTGATAAACCCTCCTACAGTAGAATGAACTCTTCCTCCTTTCATAAATACTAATTGCGAGAATCGGTTGAGAGGGAAGGTAGACGCAGCGTTAACCTACTGTTCGGACATACACTGCTAATCTACTTATGACTAACACTCTTGCTTTGTATATATCTTCAATATACTTGTTCAACCTACCTTCATCTTCCGTGTCTTTCTTTCTGGCCCCTAAGCACGCCACAACATTATCAGAACGATCAAGGTGTGTTTTCCAAGCTGTCGGATCTTCCTAATCTCTATTAGGCATTTTTGACTCTTTCTGAATCTTCTGTATTGTCCCCAGATTGGCACCTAAACACACTGAAATGTTTCTGTTGGAGCTTCGGGCACGAATGCCAAGCAAATTTATGGCGGCGGGAATTGCGTCATTGTGCTGTTTTCTCACAGACGGTGCCTAACTGACTCTATATACTGTGCCGCCGACAAAATCCAAAACAAACAACGCGCATGTGCAAAATTGGAATTATATTATGGCGACAATTTCCCCATCGCACCTTGTACATAAAGCAATATTTACCTTTTTTTCACTTGGCTTTGAATTTCTTGGAGCTTCGAAGGGACGTGTCGTCTCCCCTTGAATTCGGAATGTCATAGATTATACTAACTTTTGTTTAATAAGTCGAATGTATGATCAAATAATAACACTCAAACAACACAAAAATAAAAATAGCAGAAATATCTTTCTTTTTCTCCATAGCTCATTCTCTGATGAAGCTTTGATAAAAGTGAAACATGTTAGATTGATAAACGTTTCCTATTTGTTTTTTTATCATCTATATATATATATATATATATATATATATATATATATATATATATATATATATATATATGAAAAAGATATTTTGGTTAAGCTCTTCGGGGAGAAAAGGGAATTTGTAAACAGTGGCTATTACTGCTGCTGATGCAAGACTCTTCGTTAAAAAAAATCGAATTCTCTGGTCACTGGCGTGTTTGTCTAAAAAAATAGATACGTCTAAATTCACTTTCATCCCTGCCGGGTGCCAAATGGCTACTACTGATACCAAATCTCGCCACACTGATGAGCTGTGAAACAGCTAAACAGTCTGTCTGTGGATGACAATATATATTGTGTGAATGCATTTTGGTAGCATGTTTTCATTGAAGCAAGTTTCATTGAATAGTTTAGAAAAGTATTGTTTGCTTATCTCCAATGGAAAAAAATAATATTTATGTTGGCCATACTACGACCACGTTGTATAGCCGGTTGAGTTTTCATTTGAATGACATGACATGACTAATATCTCTAAACATTTACAACAACTTACTTGTCCACATTCGCAATTTAGAAAAAATCTTGTCGAAAATACATCCATACGTTCTCATGAAAATAATTAACATAAACTAAAAATTCTTGAAGCCGTCTATATTGAAAAATTGAAACCAAACCTTAACAAAATTAATTATGAACGCTGCACAATTGTTCTAAAATGTTCACAATAGATAAATAAAAGTCTATATTAATAGTTTCCCATACTATTTTCTTCTTGAAAAAAAGAACTCTTGACACATCATAATTAGTTACTTCCCCTAGTGCGTAAACATTGAAAATAAGTGGTAATATTATAACTTTCAGATGACCATAGCAATTTTGTCTTTAGAAATAATGATCACTAAATTTCTGTCTTTAAAACACACCCTGAGGATGACGTTGTGTTAATGTCGAAAGTACTCGGAATAAAACTATGTGTACCAACACGGTAATTTTCTCTCTTCTTTTAATACCGGCACCAAAAAGCTCATCCGAGATTATGAACGGATCCTGTTGAAAATAAGCAGACACATCTTGTCTAAACTATTCAATAACTCTTGCCTCAATACACACACACACACACACACATATATATATATATATATATATATATATATATATATATATAATTTTGTCCAATGAAAGTACTTTCTTAAGATTTATTTAGTTAGTTTTATTTAGTTTTCTGTTTCAAACCATTTTCATGGTTTTACATACATATTTAAATATAAATTATTCAATGTTTGAGTACATTATTATTTAAGTGTTTTTGTTTTTATGCTAGATCGGTTTCATCATTTTCAAGTATCTCTTCTTTGCGTCTTCACATGAGAGATCCCATTATCGTTGAGTTTTTTCTTTTATTAACAAAATATATTAATTATGCGTGTTCCGAAAGTTGATAATAATTGATGTTGGGTTGATTGGTTTTATGATTAATGCTTGCAGTATTTGTAATCATTTTCCAGTTTATGCGATACTGTATTTTTGTGCTAGTGTTAAAGATTATTTACGTTTTTATTCTTTTGGTTGACGACATGCAGTTTAATAGAACTGTTATCGGAACGTTAATTCGTGTCAGAGGCCTGATCCTATTTCCGTAAATTAAACACGAAGAACCTGGCGATATTTAAAAAGACGACAATATCCAAATAAGTGCGGTTGGTGGCTAAAACAGACAGGATTTTTAATTAAAGTTGGTCGCCTACGATATTTTAAAGGTGTGTTCTCAAATACCTGACGCACGATATTCCAACTAGTTCATAGATTTCAGCTCCTTCATAATTTTGTAATAGTACTGTTGGCCCCACTGGGGTGGGTGTTTATATGTCAATTTCATTTACGGTTCTTCCCAAGTGTGCACATCATATGAACAGCTGGGTCGATCACGTGTTTGCGTGTCAGAGTCAATCAGCGACATCTTCTGAAACTAAGGATCATTTTAAGAAACAGTAAATTTCGTTGAGAACGAAGATCGAAACAAGTAATCAACTATTATACAATATCAATCTTCCTATATAGCAGTGAATGCTGGACAAATACCTCACAGATGAAGAGGAGACTTCAGGTAACAGGGATGTGGTTCTGCTGAAGGATGATGAAAATACCATCGACTGAACATGTGAGCAAGGACGTAGTTTTAAGGACAATGGGAATGATTGATTGATTTGTTTGTTTAACGGCATATCAATTCCTTATGGGTCATTTAATACCAAAATTTTATTTTCTTGGGAGTTTGAAGTAATAAAAATATGATATATGTTATTCTGCTTTCACAATTGACTACATGGTAGATGATACTCAGCTTTTATGCATATACATGTTTGTATGGACATGATTACTAGACGCAGTGATATGTGTGTTTTACTAATTACTAGATGGGGGGTGATATGTGTGTTTTATGTTGTAGTTTTGTTGAAGCTATATACTGAAATGCAGTTGGAGTTCTTTAAGAAATTGTAGGATATTATTTGAATTAATGTCATGAAAGATTTCTTTTATTTTGGATGTGCTGTTGAATTTGTTTAGTGGCATATAAATCTCTATAGATTATTTAATGGCAAAATCAACATATTTTGAACGCAATTGCATATTTTCACTTCCAGATAAAATGCATTACTAGTCATTTTGCTATATGTAGTTTTGTACTTTCATAATGCCTTGTTTTTGTTTGGGGTTCACTATTTGCCCATAGCCGAGACCCTAACAGGTGCTACCACCCCGAGTCAGGGTAGACCTGGGAACAATAGTAATTAAGAGGTGGTTCCACGCTCAAACCCCGCAATCTCCCGATCAGACGCCTTGCTACCGGATGTAGTTTATCGTCATACCCAGAACAAGAAAATGGGAATAAAAATAACATTTATACTTAGAATCAAAAAGAGACAATTGAAGTTTCTATAACACATAATGAGGAAAGAGGACTTGGAGAATTTGACACTCACGAGGCATATTAAATACAAGAGGGAAACAGAAAGTGACATACCAAATGTGAATGAATGGTTGAATATGGACAGTGGGGGGTAGGAAATAAGGTTGCAAACACTGCTTAAAGCTACAAGAGATAGGAAGTCGTAGAGGACCATGATTGTCTACGTCCTGAACACAAAAGAAGAAAAGTCTTTTGGATTTGTCCATAAAAGTTTGATTCCTTTTTTTACCTAATTGCAGGACTTACGGTCATATCACGTTGAAACACCAGTTTCTCTATGATCACCGAAGTTAAACAACGTCGAACCTGGTCAGAACCTAGATGGGTGACCACTTAGGAATATCAGTTGCTGTAAGCTTGGATGTGCGGGTGGTGTAATGGATAATGACTCAGAATTGTTAATCGGAGAGCCGAGTTCCAATTCCGGTTGGGTTCGTTATATTCACGTACGCTCAAATACCCTTGGGAAAGGTATGAATCTCCCCCATGGGTTAATTAATAAGACTTGAATCAGTAAACCATTATTATCTCAAAAAATTCCGATAATCTAAAAAAAATATTTTTTAGCTTTAAATAATCTGCAAAGGGTTGATAAGCCGTAAAAAAACGAATGAATCAATCTTAATTCCAAACTCCATCTAGCATCACTGCTTCTGTCCTGAAAAAAAATGTCTTGAGGTAAACATTTCCTGAACAGAGTCCAAAGAAATAGGTTAGAAAAGGAAAAAAAGAGAGATAGATACAAGAATAAGGAAGATGTCATATGAATTAGAGAGGGAAAAGAAGAAAAAGAAAAGACGGCAGAATACAAAAGAAAGAAAGAAAGAAAGAATCGTTTAGTTCGAAAGAAAGAAAGAAAGAATCGTTTAGTTCGAAAGAAAGAAAGAAAGAAAGAATCGTTTAGTTCGAAAGAAAAAAGAAAAATGAAAAGAAGAGAAAATAAGAAAGAAAAGACAAGTGTGTTCTAAAGAAAGAAAGAAAGAAAGAAAGAAAGAAAGAAATGTATCAGAGAACGAAAAAAAACAAAGGTATTAAAAAAAAGAAAGAAACGAACAAACAAATAAACAAAGATGCGTTTATTCAAAAGAAAGAAAGAAAACTATCAGTAGAAAAAAAAGAAAACAAAGTTATGAAAAGGAAAAAGATAATATAAAAGAAAGGAATAATTAATAAATGAATGAATGAAATATATACTAAAGAAAGAAATAAAATAAGAAAAAGTACCAAAATAAAGAAACAAAATTAAAGGTATTAAAAGAAGGAGAAAGAAAGAAAGAATCAAACAAATATATATATATATATATATATATATATATATATATATATATATATATATATATATATATATATATATAAGGCAGTGACAAAGAAAGGAAGTATTAGTGAAAAGACGTGTGGGGAAAATGAGAAAGAAAAAGAAAGAGAAACTAAAAGAGAGTTGATTACAAAAAATAGACAATCTCTGTTAGAGCGGGAAAAACGGCAAGTACACATGTCCTTATATGCCAATCAGTGACAGCCCAATGTCTAAAACAATTCAAAGAAAAAAAATTACAGTTCGATACCCTATCGAAATAAGTCAGTCATTTTTTTATTCTATTTATTTATTTTTTTCAAAAGAAAATAAATTTATTAGCTGTTTAATTACCAGTTTCGATAATACGACTAACATTATTCGGGGCTTCGTTTTTTTAATGCGTCTCTTTCTATTGATTTTTACCTGATATAATGTATTTTCTCTCCTGCTCGGAGCCGATATAATGTTTATTTGAAGTAAGGGGGACTTATGCCTTTCCCTTAGACTGCACTAAAAAATAGTAGTTATACGAATGCAACATAAACGGAATTAAATTTAAACACTCGTTAGATCGTTTCTCAACAATTAAAAGAAAAAATCATTTTGGCCCACACAACAAGCGATTAGTTTATTAATGGTTAACACTGTTCGATAGTTAAGGTTTACTTTCAGAGAGCCATTACGAATTACATAGGCTTATAGAGTGGTAACTTGCTCAGGATTATCCTCATTTTGTTCCATATATGCTATATGAACATTAAGCTTTTGACAATTACATCAATATGACTGACTTAAGATAGAGAGTGGGGGAAATTTAGCATTGGTAATTTTTTTTCTCAAGGTCATTAGCACAAAATGACACCAGCAGTCAGCAGTGGACAGAGTTCAGAATCAACCAGGTATCATTCCTAAAGCCATTCTCAGCGATGTGTCATGAATATATATATATATATATATATATATATATATATATATATATATTTTAACATAGATTAAAAATCCAAACTTACCTCATTCGATAATAGCTATTTTGGAGTAACTTTGGATGTTTAATCTATGTAATTTATATACTCTGTAATAATAAATACATTGTGCTCTTTGTATGGACCAATTTGAATATTTTATATTATTAGGATTCACTACTATTATATACCAACGGATTATTACCCATATTTTTCCTCTTTAGTAAAACAACTCTGAGTTTCATGTCGAATCCAAGCGTCACGTACTGATTCATAGTTGTGCAATTAGTAAAGAAAAACGTACATTTATTATTAATCTAATTTATATCTCCGTTATTAAATATCGAGCACTAGTTTACTAGCCCCAGCACTCAATGCGTGATATGTTATAATCATATATATATATATATATATATATATATATATATATATATATATATATATATATATTTCTGATGCGTTTCATCCGTTAAGACTTCATCAGATAGGACTTTGTTGATGAAATGCGTCACAAAAAAAAACTTTCAATTTGTCATATTTTTCTAAATAGTGTTTCTGGATATATAAAATTATATATTATCGTAAAACCATATATATATATATATATATATATATATATATATATATATATATATATATATATATATATATACATATACATATATATATATATATATATATATATATATATATATATATATATATATATATATATATATACATTTCCGTGTGATGCGTTTCATCCTTTAGAACTTCATGATGATGTCCTAAACTACGAAACGCCTTACACGAAAAAACCATTTTTCCACTTTCTCATACTTCTGACAGCTAAAATTGTCTTTGATATATAAACAAATTATGTATCGTTATCCTATATATATATATATATATATATATATATATATATATATATATATATATATATATATATATATATATTTCGGCCAGATGTAAGTTAGGAAGCTTGTCAATTAGATTCAGTAGTGAGTTCGGTTCGATCCTCACGCTAAGTAAATTATCACACACACACACACACACATATATATATATACGT